GGTTCTTCTATCACAAGACAAGAAAGTGAGTTCTTAAAATAAGGCAACTGTGGTGTTAATTCTATGGAGACTTTTTTAAACTTGATTGTTTATGGTTTATTATATTTTATTAATTTTTTGGTTTGCGGTAGGGCATACACCTAAATCTGCCTCGAGACTTGTGCCTAACCTCACAAAGGAAAAATTGCCTCAATACCTATTTCCATCTTTTTAAATATTGCAGATATGTTAACAATCAGAGGATCAAGAAGAATAGGTAATAATGGACACAATGACCATGCTCTTTGACTTCATGTTGAGTTAAAAAAAACCTCAAAGTTTGACCACTTAATGGTCTTATTTACCACTCAGATAAATTAAACTAACCTAGCACACCAAATAATTAAGACCACCCCCAGTGTCCAACTTTTCTTCAAGAAGGCATAAAAGCGGGAAGTCTTTTACACTCTTAAAAGTGTCAGAAATGTATATAAGAGAATCAGACAAACAATATAGACGGAAATGAAGATCACAAAATGCACCCACAGTTCTTTTCTGTTAATCAGACCTCAACTCCAGGTCATCTAATCCTAAAAGATATAATTCATACAGCCTCCATTCTCTAAAGCTCACATCATGTATGTTGCAACCTTATCCTATACTTTCCATTCAACGTCTAAAGCACTCCAGAAATTTAAAGACTTGAGTATGAGAACCTCAGATTTACCAAACCATTGTCCTCATACGAAGGTTGTTAAAACCGCATCCTAACGATCCAAATTATAATAGGCCTGGGCTTAGCAGTCCAGGCAAAACAAGGTACAACAAATGAAGCTTACAACATAACATTCGCACGCAGTTCATTCTGCTTCAAAAAAACTGAACTTTAATTATGCAATGAATAAAAATTTAGAAACATGGTTAGAAAATTTCAAATGACAGTCCATTTTTCGCACTAAAAATAATTAAAACTTAAAAACTCACAAATTGGAAAAATACTGAATTATATATATTATGTATTTCCAAAAAACTAAAACCTTCAGGGAAAAAAATTAAAGGTAAGAAAAAACTCAGATCGCATGAATTCAGATTAAGATTAGACTGTGCGCATCATTCAAGAATAATTTCCATTTCATAGTTCACGATAATGCATGAAAAACACGAGATATTATAGAAGAGGGAGGAGAAACTTACAGCCGGGAAACGGGTATCCAGTTTCTTCCTCATGGTGTATCAGATTTAGGCATCCATAAAAATCTCCTTAGTCGAAAACCAGAAAAATTTAAGAATTAAAAAAAAAATGTAGTCAAATCCAATCTATTAATTTATTACTCGAGATAATTTGAGAAATATTATTAAAAAATTAAATTCATAAAATTTAATAGAATACGATGATTATATGATCGACATAATGATTGGAGGAGGAGATAGAGCAAAAACAGATTCTTCGATTCAGATCCGATAATAAAATGCGACATTTTGCAGATTTGGGATTTTCTATTTAAAATTTTTTGGTGGGTCCGTACGTGAAGTCGTGGCTGCTTGATTTTGCGAAGGCACTAACAAATTAAAATAGTAAGAGCCCGTTTAAGAGTAATTTTTTTCTTTAAAAAAATTGATTTTTTTATCGTTATTTTACTATTTCAGTCGTTATATTTTACTTTTTCTCTCACAAATGGACCCAATTTTTCTCTTAACGATCAAAAAATTAATTCTCAAAATTACTTCAAAACAGGTTCTAATATTATCTCTAATTATATTTTAAGAAAGTTTTTGTTTGGATAATTTTCTGTGGACCTTCATGCTACATTGCTACTTGGTTTACAAAACAACATTTACACCGATTATTTCAAAAATAACTTTTTAAATCATTTGAAATCAAAGTCCAGGTAGGGATGTCAAAAGGGCCGAGTTGCTCGTTGGCTCGACGGCTCGGCTCGTGAAAATGGGGCTCGTAGACGGCTCGGACTTGTAAAATCACGAGCTCTAGCACGAGCCGAGTGGACCTCGTTGAGAGCGCTAGGCGAGCCGCTCGTGGACGAGCCCACAAGCGGCTCGTTTGAATGAGCCACCAAAGGTAAAGTGATCGTTTTGGTCACTTTTTCAGTGATCGTTTGGTCACTAAATTTTTTCAGTGACCGTAAATAATTTTTTTTAATTTTTTTCTCTTCTTCTACTATAAATATCCCTTCCCCCAAAGATTTTTTTTTTCATATCAAATGCTGCTCCAACTATTTTAACTCTCTTTTATTATATCAATTTTCGAGTTTTTACTCTTTTGTGCTGAAAAATATACAATATTAATTCAATTTTTACAGTTTATTAGTTACAATTTCAATTTTTTCAATTCTCACAATCTCACTACATTTATATTCTTCTAGTTAAGATTTTATCATAAACAATCAAACAAATGGATCAACGCTCATTTGTTGAAAGCTTGTTCGATACAGGATGTGGGCCACATCATGGCGAATCGCCTAGGACGCCGCAAAGTCAATTTCCAAATAAATTTGCTGGTCTAAATGACCTATCGATACCTGAAGATATTCACATTCACAGTCAGGGAAGCTACAATCCAATTTATTTGGATGTTACTAACATTCTCGAAGCGAAATATGAGGATAAAAATGCTGAATTAAACATCTCAAATGCGAGGGGAAAGCAAAAGGTCAAAAAAAAACAAAATGTTAGGATCACTTTAAGTTGATTTCAACGAGAAAAGTTGCCAATGGCCTTGCAGAATCTAAAGCAGTATGTAAATACTACCAACAAAAATTGGCATGGCAAAAAGAAATTAGTACCACCCATCTTCATCGCCACTACAAAGCATGTGCGGCCAGACATTGACTTCTTCCAACTAGTCAAACCAATTGCAATTTGGCAGTCCAGACGCCGGTTCTACAACTTCACCCCTATCCACGTGGGTGTATTCGGAGGACAATACTCGAACCGGAATGGTAAAATTTGTTGTCGCTACTAAGTTGCCTCTGGCTATTACAAACAACCAACACTTCGTCTCGTTCGTGAAAGAATATCTACAATTGAGGTACGTTGTGGTAAGTTGAAACACTCTTCGTGCCGATACAATAAATTATTTCAATAATTCAAAACAACAATTAATTATGGATTTGCAACAATATGGGGGTGTTATATCTTTAACTTCTGATATATGGGAAGAGGTTAATAAAAGAGCATATATAGCTGCAATCGCACACTATATAGACCCACTTTGGTGCATGCATAGGAAAATTATTGCTTTTAGAATTATTAAGTTTCCTCACAATACTAATAATATATATAATGCTATTATCAGTATTGTTAGAAAATATTATTGTCAGACTAAAATTAGATATTTTACTTTGGTAATGCTAGTACTAATAAGGTAGTCGTTAATAAATATCTACAACTGAGGTACGTTGGGGTAAGTCGAAACACTTTTCGTGTCGATACAATATATTATTTCAATAATTCAAAACAACAATTAATTATGGATTTGTAATAATATGGGGGTGTTATATCTTTAACTTCTGATATATGGGAAGAGGTTAATAAAAGAGCATATATAGCTGTAATCGCACACTATATAGACCCACTTTGGTGCATGCATGAGAAAATTATTGCTTTTAAAATTATTAAATTTCCTCACAATGTAAATAATATATATAATACTATTATCAGTATTGTTAGAGAATATCATTGCGATACTAAAATTCGATCTTTTACTTTTGATAATGCTAGTATTAATAAGGTAGTCGTTGATAAATTGTGTAGGACACTTCAACCTGATTTTGGTGGGTATTTGTTTTATATTCGTTGTGTGTGTCGTATTTTGAATTTAATTGTGTAAGATGGTTTAAAACATATAAATGATGGATTTCAAAGGATTATGAATGCATTAGTATATATTATGATCTCTTCTAGTAGAAAACAAGCATTTGAAGATTTTTGTGCCAAATTAGGGGTGATGACTGAGAAATATTTGTTAGCGACGTATGTCATAGATGGAACTCTACTTACTTGTTATTAAAGTCATGTGAATGTTTCGAAAATTTAATAACTGAATTTTATAACAATAGATACGTTAGAAGTGATGACGATGGTATGTTAAATGAATCCGATTGGATTTTAGCTTTGAAAGTTAAACAATTGTTTACATCTTTTTATGATACCACAAAAATTTTATCCGGCGTTTATTATCCCACAAGCTGTATGGTGTTTGAACGCTTTTATATAATTGCAAGAACATTCCATAAATATAAAAATGATCCTGCTTTTAGTGAAATTATAATTGCTATGGAATTAAAGTTTAGAAAATATTGGAAAAAACTGTCTATGTTATTTCCTTTAACATGCGTAATGGACCCCTGATATAATCTTTTGGGAACTAAATACGTAATTGATCAAATCAATAAAACTTTAATATTTGATACACCTATCACCTATAAGAATTTAGAGCAAACATGTGGAATGTATTATTTATATGCGGAAAGAACGGGTACGAATGTTAGTCGGGTACCCTCTGCACCTACTCATTCTGCTGAAATTGAAGAAGATGATGCTGAAATAATGAATTTATTTCAAGGCATTAATACATTTAGATATGATGCAACTGCAA